ACAGATGGACATTGATAGTCCCCGGAGGATAACTCTTCACTGACTTCATCTAGCAGCAGCAGTATGTCAAAGTTTATAGTTATACAGTAAAATATCTAAACATCTGTTGGATGGATTGGCACAAAATTCAGTACAGGCGTTCATGGTTCCCAGATGATGAATCCTGAAAGACTTTTACTGTTGTGTCAACAGCAGGTTCACAATTGTGGTTAGGAGGGACTGTCTCAACAACTATGTTAGCATTGAACAAATGTTGGGTGCCAACATACTTAACATGTACATGATAGCACTGTCAGTGTGAGCATGTTTTCATGCTGACGTTAACATTTATCCGAAAGCAGCACTGTGGATTGATACAGTCTCCCAGAGCCTCTAGCATGGCTGTAGACTTTTTTTTTTTTGTTGTTTGTTTTCATTTCACAACTGATTAATAAGCCACCGTGGCTAAAATGACAAAACTGGATTTATTATATTCAAAGCTGAGCCCGGCAAGGTTTTTATGTGATTAAACCAGGTGCATAATTATCTCATCAGGCTCAATCATAAAGTAGGGCTGTGGCAATGAACCTTCTCATCCCAGCTACTTGAAACCCTTCCACTTCACCTTATTTACAAAATTGACGTTCTGGATATCAAAGCTAAAATTTGTCTTGTCACTGTTATTTGGGAGTGTTAAGATGTCATTCAGATCTGAATTTGTGCAATAAGTGCAAGGACCTTAACCACTTTACACTTACACAAAGCACACACAACCGGAGGCTGGAAAAACATGACTCTAAAGACAAGGGATACATCATGGCTTTTCAAAGAGTATTCCAGTCATGTCTATTATAATTAGTAATTATGATCCAGCAATACTCACCACTGTGATCTCACAATAGTTCCGACATCGAGGTGCTGGTTCTCATTAGCGTTAAATGATCATTTCATTTAATTAATGAGGGAAAGTCAGATGTGTGTGTTTGTTGAGGCGATTGGCAGGTGTGTAATAACTGGGAAAAAAAACAGGGCCTGAGAGGAAAATGCACAAAAGCTTCTGGATGCATGGTCTATCTGGCATGTCTGGGATTCCTGAGTCTTCATCAGTCTGTGTAACCTAGCGAGCTGTGAGGAGTGAAGTGAATCAATCTTTCTATGTTTTCACTGTGTGTTTTCAATAATTATCTGGGTGTACACACACACACACACACACACACACACACTCACACACATCAGCCTAATTGTGTTTTTACAAAAACGGAAACTCTCTCAGGTGGCTCAGCAATCTGGAGGGCAAAATGCAGTAAATACTACCCTGCTGCAAACGCTAAACATTCAAAAATCCTTGAAATATTTCTAAAGGATGAACTGCTCACATTGTTGCTTCTTGTCACATACATACCATTCTCACACAACAGTAATTCTGCTTAATGAGGATAATCCTTTAAATCAGGCTTGTATTGTCAGTATTGAGCTTATCCCATTTTATTTCCTTATCATGCTGATCTATCGTCAGCATGTTCAGCTGATAAACATCAAAGACACAAAGGAGAGGGATTATGGATAATTGCAGAGAAAGGAATCATATTAAATTCTAGACTGGCACACTTGCCATTAAATGGCAGCTGGAAATATATTGTACAGTCCTGCAGATGACAAAGATGTCATCTACGTTTTACAGACTTCCTGTGATCTCACTCACTTGTGAATAATTCCACGATGATATTATGTTACTTAAAGTTCCTTTCAGCTCTGTTTGAGTTTAGTCGTTTGTTGAATACGTGTTTGGTGAGGTGGATTTTATCTCACCTTCACGGTTTTCTACCTGGTTCTATGGTTGCTTTTGTTTCTGGGTCTGTAGCTGTGTTTAATATTTTATGTCTGTCTCTTTGGCTTTCTGTTTTGAAGTTTTGCACACAGACTGGAATAAAAACTAACAACGTTCATTAATACTGTATTCTCCACCACCAGTGATTTAGCCTCATGGTAGCCAATTTATCAGCACTGTCTTGCTACAGTAAGATGTAATAACTTCTCAGGACTCAACTGTATTTCTAGCAAGAAATAAAACTGAATTAATTACATTTTTATCATCCGTGGAGAAGGATGGTAATGTGTTGACTCTCAAGCATTTGGCGACAGCTGAGTACAGCTGATGCTGATTTGCACTACTCGCTTGTCTGATCTGAGCGCGTGTGATCATCACAGTGTATCTTAGACACAGCAAACTCTCTCCCTGCACCGAGGGTCGTGTACTGCAGCAAACCAATCTGTGTGCTATTTAGCATATCATGTCGTCAGGCAACTTCTCATGACTTTAGTCAATGTTTTAATTAAGCTCGCAACATCGTTCAGGTTTCCCGTTCCTTAAAGCAGCTGTAATCAGTATTTTTACAACAACAATGTATTAAATGAAAATGTGAAAACAATGTGAAAGTGTGAAAGGAGTCATTTGAAGTGACTGACCTACAGAGAATTATCACCTGAATATGCAGCTGCCACAGCTCTAAAGAGCTCTATAGAAGTTTCTGATAGACACGGTTAGTGACTAGATGGTGAACACAGAGGAGCATTTAGCAGCTGAAGAGCCAGATATTTCCCTCAGGAGTTGGTTGATACCAAAAACTGAGCTAAAAAAGACCGTGAATATTGGACTTGGATTCTTCAGTTGACCAGAAACACTACTCCAAAGAATGATAATGTTGCTGAGTAACCAATGGGTGTGTCAATAGGCAACTGTTTGCTAACAAGTTCACCATATCAACTTAAAGGGTGATGACATTGTCACGGTTCTGTTTATAGTTTGTTCCTCTCACCCCCATGTGCCAAAAAAAGAACTAAATGAAACAAAACAAAAACTTTTGTTGCAATGTTAGGGAATTTTTACGCAGCAGGTTTTAACTATAAGTACAGGATTATTGTTCAGTTACTACAGAACGGTCATAGGTTTGCTATAACTAACAGATATTTGTTCCAACTTTAACTGATTTTTTTTCTTTTTGTAGGTTTAGACCAAAACAAATTATATGAACTAAATTAATCTGTACTGGAGCAACAACAGTAACACAATGATATGCACTGTATGAAGAAATTCGGTCTGCTAACTACATACACAGACTGGTTCTTGTGAACATGGCCATGACTAAGTGTTTATTCATCACTAAAATTCCCATATGATCAGCCAAATGAGGGTTTAACACTTGTTTATTAACCCGTCTCATACCTCAGTTGGTGTCTGAAAGTGTTACATATCTACCTTAGCGACAATGATTGAGGAGAATGATTCAGTGAACAGTGGGTTGCTTGTTTATCTGTGACCTTTATCGACTCCTACGGGCTGGAGAGGTGTTTTGGATTAAACCTCCCGTAGTTTGAATTGTGCCAGCAGATGAATAGAAAAATTAAACAATTAAAACATTAACAAAAAAATTAAGATGGATTTTATTCATTTTCCAATGGTAAGGTTCAATTAAGAGGGTTGTGAAATTGCAGTATTTTCCTTCAGTATGATTTGAGGACCTATTTTTGTTTCTGTTCATAAAATACAATGGATTAGTACTTAAACTAAGTATTCTCTTTTTCAGTAAGACAGCAATAAAACATTATGTTTTTAGTGCTGCTGTATCCTTGGCTTGCAAATAACACTAATCCACTTAATTCTATTTCAACAATAAACCCCCCCATATATATATATATATATATATATATATATATATATACACACACACAACACACACACACACACACACACACAACACACACACACACACACACACACACACACACACACAACACACACACACACCACAACCACATCACACACACACACACACACACACACACACACACACACACACGAATAGAAATGAATTTTCAGCGAAATTCAGCAATAAAAGCTAAACCCTGCAGAATTCTGTAGGGACTATCCAGAGGTCTGGTTCAGGTGGAGAACCCTCAGTGTTTGTGTGAGGGTCAGGCAGCAGGGGACAGATGCTCGACAGAGGTCACAACAGACAGTGGGTCATAAATATGGGAGACAGGCTGATCTGGCCTACGACAAGGAAAGGGCGGCTCTACTGTAATGGGTGATAAATGTCAGAGCCTCCCTACAGCCTCAGATGAGCGATTGTTAAGCAGCTTCCTGAGCCCGAGCTGCTGCTGAAGCCTCGAGACAGACTGACAAGCACTAGAGGAAACATTTACACGGATAGAACGGCTTGTTTGGATGACAACCCCCCCCCCCCCCTCGCTGTCGCCATAGGCAGAATGAGCGGGGTGATTAATCAGGTTGTTAGCATGTTTGATGGAGAGTAGAGGAGAGAGGAGACGAAAGGAGGAATCCATGGGTTGAGAGGAGTGGAGAGTGTGAAAGGTAACAAAATGAAGAGGAAAGCTCCGCCGCTGTGATTCATCAGGGGTTACTGATCCTCTGGGGAGCAATAATTTCAATAATTTCTAAAGTAACAGGCCTTGATTGCAATAATGTCCCCATAGCAACTATTATCTTTAATGACTATTATTATGGCTGTCATAAAATGGAGACTGGAGGAAGTCTTATTAAAATATAGCATTATGCAACTGCACCTTTCAAGGCCTTCACTGATCAAAAACTTGGTGGTTCGTGGTTTTTAAATTCGCCTCTTTAAAAAGATAGATGGGTAAAAGGCTGAATTTACCACATGGATTGAAAATGAAAAAGTATAAGTACATACATGTATATTACTTATGGTATATTCATTGCTGTTATTAATCTTATTTCATTCTTTTGATCTGATGTGTTTTGTGAACCTTGATTACTCTCCTCCTATTTTTAACTAAAAAAGTCTGTTTTCTATGTTTTGAAAATTCCATGGTTTATGTTTCATGCATATATCCAAATGTAAATCATTGCACCCAGTCCAATACCATAAAAATGCTCATACCCCAATGTTATATTCTTGCCACATAACCTTGCTTCCTTAGTGCAATATACAGGTTACTTGGTTAATTGTTTGATTAAATTATAAAAGAATGAGACTTACTTTTGGAGACTCTGGAGACTTTCCTCTTCACCTCACCGCCACCTGATCCCCCACAACCGTCCTCATCATCACAGTCGCCGCTGTACTGTCCCTCCACATCTCCACTGCCTGTTTCGATCTGGTCCAGCGACCCCAGTTTAGGAATGGACTTTCCCTGCAACAGCTGGTTGTGGAATAAAACAAAGTAATTTTTTTTTTCTTTATATACATAAATTTGTCAAAAGTAGTTAAAAGTCCATTTATTCGCCCTGATTTTAAAAGTTGCTGTTTCCTGCTGCAATAATCATTATATCTGCATTACATGCATATCATATTCATATTCAATATTCACAGCAGGCTATAGTGAACAAGGTCCTCTAATGGCAAGGACAGTACAGAATATGCTTGCAGAAAATGAAGAGGAAAACAGGGAGGAAATGCAAAAGAGCTGCTGATTATTCTGCTAATCAGCCACAGTCATCTACGTAACAGAAAATGAAGAATCTACAGAATAAATGCACTGTAAATTGCATTCTTTTGTTAAAAAAATTTGAAGTCTAATTTTAGTGCATCCTTATTTTCATTGTTTTTAAGCCCTTTGATATTGAAATACATAAATAGTATAATTCCGTTTTTTGTTTGTCTGATTTTAAAGGTCCCATATTTTGACACTTAAAATTGTACCTGTATCATCTACACTTCTGTAATGTGGTGAACAAAGAAAATATACTCTTAATTTGATTTTACCCGGCTTTGCTGAGAGCCCCTCTCTGTCCCAGCCACACACATTCAATTTTTGCTGCTATGCAGAAGTAACCGCCCACTATTCGTCAGCAAGCACTCTGATTGGTTAAGCTCACAAGACGGCCTGGGATCAGATTTGACGGAAGGCTACAGTAAACATGACTGCAGGCACGTTAAGACCTTACAAGCAAAACACAAAATTCAGGGAACTCTGATTTGCTCGAAAGGACTGCATCATTTATTTTTATCACAAAATGTGGATCATAATGTACATGTACTCTACATTCACAGTTTATACTGCTCACCCAACTCTGCGCCGACTAGCACACCTCTATCCACTCTAACAGCAGCCACACCAACACGCGCATACTCACTCACTTAGCTAATTTACTGTTAGCCATTAGCTTGCACACTGCAGCTAAAACACAAAAACTATATGAGTCTGTCCAAATGGCTTATTCCTTGCTCTTCAACACAGCTGCTAACAAAACTTTATGTCCTTAACTTACAGTTAGCAACAAAACCTTGTTTACACTCACTGTCTTTCCCTCCCACAGACACAGACAATTTTCTTACTGGCTTGTAAAGCATGGGGGGGCATTTTAAAGGACTTCATATTTTCCCAACTTTTATTTTATACCACTGAGTTCGCAAAAAAGACACACACGAAACACAACCCAAACCCATTTTCACAATATGGGGCCCTTTAAAAAAACTAAAATAATAAAAAGGAAATCATCATAGTCATCAAAATGGCTATAGCATCATCAATTATCCTGATCACCACCACCTACAAACTACACTTTAATGAATCAACAGTATGAGCTACATGACGCTCACCCTTCTCAGCTGCAGTGGCCTGCAGGGTAGCTGAACTTTCTGTACTGCTGTGCAGGAGAATCTCAATCAAAGACTCTGTGATACCAGGGGAAATGCATTCGCTAATTGGCTCATTTAAATTCATGGTACGTCATTGGAAACAAGAGAGAATCCTTTGTGTTGATCAGAAAGGTAGTGTCTATGCTAATTAGTTACTGCTGTGGTTCAGTGCAAGGGAGCAGTGAAGTGTCAGGGCTGCTGCCATGGCTGAGCTGGGACATATCTGTGCTGGTAATTAGCCTGTCTTGAGTCTTTGCTCCTCAACAGTGACAGGTTAGAAGATGGAGAATATTGAGGGTTTGGGCAATCTAAGCGCTCCCTCCATGTGTGTAATTGGCGTGATTTTCTTTCCAATTACGTCAGAAATCAAACCAAATGTTTAATACATTATGTGGAATAATGAGTTTCTGTGGTGCATACGATTAGTGTGGTCCGGGAGTTTGGCTGAATTTGAACTTTGTGTTTGTTCACAGCGCAGGAGGTAGAGGAGTGCTCGCAACACGTCCACCAACTTAAACGACCATATAGGTCACCTTCATCGTCATGATTACAACAATAAACATTTGGTTAAGGCTGTGGAATGGTCACACTTAAACAACCCATCCATTGACCCCAGCCCTCCTCAGCACAACACGTGGTTGCTCTACACACTACGTAACTGACTTCCTTTTTTACTCCTTTCATAATTACTATAGCTGCTAATGGTCACCTAACATTAAAACGTGACTATGAGTTGTAATAACCTGCTTACACAGATGACCTACGGGCTCAAATTTTCAAATAGTCTCACTGCTCGAGGGTTCTGTATGTGGAGTTCAAAAGCTGTCAACTCCAAACCTCGTTTGCAAAGCTAACAGCATCTGACAATAATTAGTCCATATATGGAAGACAATATGCAGCGTGAGCTTAAGATTCACTATTAAAAGTTTAGAGGGAGGTGAGAGCTTACGAGCCTGTGTGTACATGAATGTGTGTGTGAGGAAGAAGAAAAAGTGCTGCTGTCCAATCAAATCACAACTTTATTCTTTAGAAACTTTGACGCATCAAGAGATGGACTGACACGTTGTTGGTTTTGGTGTTTGGCTTCATGGGATCTGTTTACAATAACAAAAATTGTAAATGACCAGCCTTATCCTTTAACATTGTTAGAAGAACATTATCCATTAAACTGACTAAAATGAAAGTAGCTTATGTAAAAACGGAACACAAAAAAGGGATAACCAACCAACATGAAACTGAAATGGCCTCATCAATTTTGCAGTCAAAGCCTGGCTCTGTGTAAACATCACACATTTCCCAAGTTCAGCTGTAAATCGTGGAGTACAGACATCTGTAATTTATAATTTATAGATTTTCTTTTATATATTTAAAATCAGACTTAAGCATGTGTTTTGGTTTGTGTGGTTACTGGCAGATGACATGATTTGCATCAAGAGTAGTAATTAATTAATAAAGTCTTGTTAGCGAATGATATTTCACAACAAACTAATTTGGAAACATTTGCCATGTTTGACCATGCCTGTCCGTCAGCAGACGACTAAGTTCTTTGACTCCTCTGGGCCAGGGAAATAACTGCTGTGCGTTTGATTGTATTGAACAGCTGTACTGCTCTTTCTGACACACAATGAAGTGAGCCTGCATAGCCTAACAGTGTTATTAGCCTCACTTCTGTGGACGGCATGGGGTTTTGTCTAATAATGGGCTTTTGTGAGACAGGTGCTCTGATTGGTTCAATGCATCTCCAGATGAGATAAAGCTCTGAGTATAGGAACCCTTGGGCAGGCCTCTGGCTGTTATTGCAGCGTGTGGAGAGTTAGTGACGACCAAATAATACCAATTACTCTTTTCACAAACAAAACTGCCCACATGCTAATAAACTGCACCACTGCACATTTACTATGAATTTTTTTGAACACAGGGATCCCCCAGTGGTTGGTCATTTCCTCTTTTTTTTAAATTCCTGCACCAATTAAGAATTAAAGCTACATGAGATAATGGTAAACAACACAATTTCTGCAGACCCTTAGAGTTAAAACTGCACAGAACACATGTTCATGGCCAACTATGTCTTAATATTTAATGGAAGTTTGATATGTGGAGGCATCAATGTGGCCAGACAGGGTTTTGCATGAAGTTATAATAAACTCTACATACTCCTGTACTTTCAAATGGCGGCAATTAACTCAACTAAGGTCTGAGCCTGGCTTTAGACTATTTTCAGGGACAGGTCTTTATAGCCGATTCACCCTTTTTTAATTAATAGTTATAATTTAACTCCCATTTGCATTGTTAATTTGTTGTAGCTGTTGCTTAATGCAAATTCAAACACTTTCCCCATCTGTTTCACAGTAAAACACTTCCTATTGTAAGCAATCATTCAGAAACAACTTGTAGTAACACTAGAAAGACAAAAACAATGACTTACTGCAGCAATCAAATACCTATTTCCCTCAGTGGCTCAATGTTGAAAACTCTAAAGTTTCTTTAATGTCTTAGTTACATTTTCAGTGGTGGCCATCCTTCAAACACTGGCACACATTTGGCTGACTGGAAGAACAACTATACAATACAGGGCTTTCACACCAAAAGTGTAAGGTTAACATTGTGCCAAAAAAAACCCCATTTCCAATGGTGAATGTGTTAAACTGTATTCTGATTTACCACCTGGATGTAACACTGATGTCAACAACATGCTTCCACTAGGTTTCTTTGATTGACGAGAGTTGAAAGTCAAGGTAGCAAAAATGTAAATGTGGAGAAGAATGTTGAAAGAGTGTCTTTTGTGCAACTGAACTCTGAGAGTTGAGTAACTCCACTCTCTATTGATATTGCAAAGTAGAAAATTTATACTGTGATTGTACGTTTGGCCTGGAAGCAGTGTTACACAATATCTACTGGCTTGTACTACCACAGGCTTGCAGCGATTCAGAAATGGCCTTCATGGGTAGGTAAGTTACAAATCTCAGCGATCCCTGTGCTGAACCACCTCTCGACTTAGTAAAAAAGTTAATTTTCACTGTTACAATCAGTGACAATGCAGGCCAGACCCCAAACTTTTTGTGGAGTCCTGTCATTCACTCACATACATTGTGTTCAGTTCAGAATGTAGTTTCACGGACATGATTTATAAAGTCTATAATATAGATATTATTTTGAAAATGGCAGGTAATTTTTCACCCATAAGTGTTTCTCTCTCTCTCTCTCTCTCTCTCTGTCTCTATCTCTATCTCTATCTCTCTCTCTCTCTCTCTCTCTCTGGGGATGACAATATCAGCCTGTTGGTTGATACGCTGCTTTGGTCCAGGCTCTTTGTTCCATCTCAACAACTATTGCATGGATTGATATTAAATCGAGTAAAAAAAAAATTATCCATGGATGAATCCAACAACTGTTGGGGTCTGTGGTGATTTTTTCTAGCATCATCCGGTCAAAATTTTACTGTGTTCAGTAGTTTCATTTATAACCAAATTAATACAAAACAATACCATGTAGCTGTACTTTGTCCTCATTATTGAATGTTAGCACGCTAACACGCTAAACTACAAAGATGAAGATGGCAAA